CGGAGCCCACGTCCCACACTCTGGGGAACCCCTGCTGCCACCGCCGCTGGACTTGGTGAACCAGGGCCTTTGCATCGAGCTGCATCCACAGGAGATTTCATTTTTAATCTTGAGACAAGGTCTTGCCAAGTTACTAAATTACCCTGGAAAGGCTTGCTCTTGCAAGCCCCTTGCCTCAGCCTCCGTCAGGGTTGGGATTACAGCTATGCACCATACTGCCTGGCTGTGTTTGACCTCTTGTGAAATGAAATGAGTCGACAACATGTAGCTTATACCATTTTAACCGTTTAAACTTTTTCCTCAACCTGTCCCAGGCCCGCATAAGGGTCTTTAGGGTCTTGCACTAACCTTGGTGCAAAGAAGGTCTTTGTTGCATCAGTCAGGGTTTTACTAGAGAAACAAATATAACACAAGATATACAAATGTATAAGAAATTGCAAGATCAACTTACGATGGTCAGTCACAGAGCTGGATGAGGAAGCTTGAGAGGGTGTCGGCACACTGGATCCTGAAGGATTCAGTCCGTGGTCTGGACCTCACTGCAGAGTCCGGAGCAAGCCTGTATCAGGAGGCGGACGGGTCTGCAGCGGAAGACGGATGAGTCTATATGAGAAGGCTAAAGGATCCAAGGCAGAAGTTGAAGAGTCTCTACTAGAAGCCAGGAGAAGACGCCCAAGCTGAAGGTGAAGACTGGAACTTCCCTGAAGCCTGAAAGCCCCTCTGTCCTTCCTCATTTCCTTTTTATCATACTAGTCATAAGCCACCCTAGGGTGGGTCCTCTACGCCCTAGGGTGTAAAATTACTCAGAAGATTTAGTTAAACTTCTAAATCTCTCAGGTTGACACAATCAATCAACCACTACATTTGTCTCAGGCCTCCATCTTCTTTTTCTTATGTTTACTTTGGTTTGGTGGGTTGTTTAGACTCACTAAGCCGTCCAGAGTGTGCTTAATTTACTGTCTGCTGCCTCAGCCTCTCAGGTGCTGGGATTACAGGCCTGTGACACCACACCCTGCTTCTACCATCTCCAACTCAGACACTCCAGTCGCTGGGTCATCACACAGGATGTCCCACAGCCTTTTGGTTCACATTCCCTGTTCCGTAAAAGAGCTGGAACCAGGACCTTGTTCTTCCTTCCAGAGTCCCAAAGCCAAATTTTCTCCACACCCTTACACTCCAGTTCTTGTTACACAGACTAAGTTTATTTCTAGTAACTTGTTGCCCTGTTCAGCCCTGCCTAGGTGTGTATGAAAGCAACCCTATAGATCCATCAAAAGAAGAGAGATTGAACCAGGATCTTAAGCTGCCCTTCCAGAGTTCCAAGGCTAAATTTTCCTCCATACTCTTACACTTGAGTTCTTGCTGCACAGAATAAGTATATTTCTGGTTACTTGCTGTCCTGTTCCTCTCTATCTTTGTACAGTTGAAAGCAACAGTATAGGTCCCACATCAACTACCTAGAGGAGAAAGAGTGCTTGAATGGCTCACAGAAAATTAAATCATGCTGTTTCCTTTGGCAGGCAAAATATTTTATAACAAGTGTTATTATACTCTAAGACTGGGCCAACACTTAGTAGGTCAATGAAAACAGACTTTTTGAATCATTTAATTCAATTCTACCAGTTATTACTAACATACTGAGCCTAAGGAATCATGATTTAATATGCGGAGGATATAAAGAATCCAGGGTTGAGCAATCAGGCGGAGGATACGGGTGAGTAAGCAACTAACTAATAAAGTCAGGGCAAAGGAGAGAAAAGTAAATGTGCAATCAGACCACAGCGTTGCCCCACTCCCCGCGCTCCTTAGCTCTCTCAGGAGGAGGAGACACTAACTTCTTACCGGCTACTCCTCACTCCTTATCCTGACGAAGCCTCAGAGGATTTCTCTCCCA